AATTTGAACCCATAGATTCATTTCATAAAAAATTGGACGGTTGTTGTGAATACCTCTTCTTCATTCTTTAACTACCAAATACTGATTATCAAAGATCCAGCTTCTACGCAAATCCACCTTTTCTAAGTCTTGCCTCGACGAGAAGATAAATTGAAAGAAATTATTTCTCAGCTCTCTAACCTCTAGGCGGTTTCCAATCCTCCATATACTACTCATCACCCGTTTGATGCCAACCCAGTTTGCTCTTCGGTCTCCCACAATTTTACCGAACAAGCTTCTACTACATTCATCAGAACTGAGATGAACATCATGGTCCTCAATATCTATCAATAGATTCTCCTTCTCAGAAAGAGAAAATTTCTCCAGTTGCTGCTCGAGATTCTCCTGATTAGATTTGCTCCTGCTCCCCCGAAATCACTCGGCTTGCAAGAGAAAGCAACCTCTTACTAGCAGAGAAAGATACTCTCCAAATGAGAGAAGAAACCTCTCATACGAGAGAAAAAGACAAGCATCTCCATTTTGGGATTCTTATTTACATTTTTGTATTAAAGATATTCTTAGGATATTATGGAACATTAGCATTAGATGCTTAATACTTTACAAGTTTAATCTCGTTTGCGACATGTGTTCTAGTCGATTTTGTACTGTAGGTTCTCAAACTCCTGTGTCCCATCATCATTACTGGGTAACTTACGGATAAATCGGTTGAATGATTAACGCTAACTGGACATCCGCCAATGCTCGTTCATCTGCTTTTAACATGGTAACCTCAATTCGTTCCATGTGTTCGATCCATCCCGTCTCTCTAATCCTTAACGAGTACGAACTCGAATTAACCGCCTTTAATTCGGTACGGATCTTAGCAGTTCAGTTGACCCCTCATACAAAGTCTCTTGGGTTCACGTGATATGAATGGAATTACCTTCGGATGTCTCTTAGAGTCATTTATACAGACAGAATTTGAACGAACTGCTTTTGTAACTCAAGAATGTTTAGGTCGAACTCTATGTCCAAAAAGACGAATGGACTTTGAGCGGGTCCTGTTTCGTGAAAAGATGCGTCCCCTTAATTGCAATCACAAATAGATACTGTTCTAATGGACGTGTTGCAATGTGACGGGTCTTACAACATTTATGGCGTATATGAAACGCTACATATTCTTGTGCCGTTTCAAAATTCTAACCATCACACCTCTTCAATGTTGGATGAATAACCTATAAGTACCAAACTTATCACTTGAAAAAATTTTCCTCACTCTTGCATACAAGCATTCACTGAGAATTCTCTGCACTCTCGCGCACGAACAACTTCTGTATACGTAACTGCTTGTTATTAAATTTAGGTAAGACTATTTTTCTTCTCACTTTTTTTATAATCTACTCTTGTCATCCGAACATGTTTCTTTTGTTGGGAAAACTACACTGAATTTTCAATGAAGTCGGATCTATAAAAGTTAAATAGAAGCGAAAAATTGGACTCGCCAAATCGATAACGAAGTTCGGCCAATAATGCCTACGTCTCCAGACTACTGCAGATATTTTATTAGGAGAAAGAAATACACTCGTGTTTACAAAACACGCTCAAACTCACTCACAACTCAAAACTCAACTACACACAGAAGCTAAAATTTTTGCTTCTTGTTCACACCCTATTTCTCTTTCTTTTCTCTCTTTTGGATGTTGTTCTTGGTGTGTTTGCTTCATCATAATTAACTTTATTTATAGATGAGGAGTGCACTTTTTTTTTTAACATTTGTGTACTCCTTTTTTTCAACAACAATCAGCAGCCCCGACTGCTGCAATTTTTCAAGATTTTGGGGCTGTCAACATTGGTGGTTGTGGCTACTTTTCAACAATCTCCCACTTGAAGACTGATTTTAATCTTTCCTCAAACCTCAATTACTGCAGTAGTCTTCTCCAGTATGTTATTCTAGCAAGTCAACTGAAGTTGAGCACAACTTCAGTTTGTCAATGGTCACCACCTTCGTTAGTATATCTGCTAGGTTCTTGCTTCCTACAATCTTCTTCAATGTCAACACTTCATCCTTAAGCAGAGATCTGATGAAAGGATAAGTATATCAATGTGTTCAATTCTGGAGTAAAATATTGTATTCTTTGCCAGATGTATTGCACTCTGACTATCATTGTGCAAGACACTCATTTCTTTAGAGAAAACCAACTCTGCTAACAATCCTTGAAGCCATATCAATTCTTTACTGGCTTCTGTTACTGCTACATACTCAGCTTCTCCAGTGGATAGAGCAACAAGTTTTTGTATCTCCAACAATACAAACATAACAGGTGGTGCTTCTTCGGTGATCAACTTCACCTCTAAAGTCTGCATCTGCATAGACCTGTAACTTTAGATCTCCTTTTCTAAAATACAGACAATTTTCTGTTGTGCCCCGTAGATATCTCGATATCCATTTGACTGCTTCCCGATGAGATTTTCCTTGATTTGACATAAACCTACTAACAACTCCTACTGCATGGCTAATGTTTGGCCTTGTACAGACCATAATGTACATCAAACTTCCAGTGGCTGAAGCATAAGGAATTTTACCCATTAACTCTTATTCTTCTTTTGTTTGAGGAGGCTGATCCTCGGATAAACAAAAATGGCTAACCAAAGGTCTATTGGCTAGCTTAGCGTTATCCATGTTAAATCATTGGAAAACACGGTTGATGTACTCTGCCTGAGATAACTGCAAAACTCCCTTTTGCTTATCTCTCATGATTTGCATTCCAAGAATCTTCTTTGTTGCGCGTAAGTCTTTCATGTCAAATTCTTTTGACAACTGCATCTTTAAGCTTTCTTTTCTTTGCTGATTCCTCTCAATGAAATTTGCCATGCTGTCTTTCATATCTGATCCCACTACTAATATGGCATGAACATAAAGTAGCAAGATGATATAGCTGGACTCATACTTATTAAGGAAACAACAGTTATTAGCAATGCACTTCTGGAAGCCTTCCTTGTGCTTGAAGCTTTCAAACTCCCTATTCCACTGTCTTGGACCTTGTTTCAGACCGTATAAGCTCTTCTTCAATTTTAAACCATATCCTTCTTTCCTTCTGAAAATCCTTCAGGTTGGTGCATATTGATCTCTTCATCAATGTCTCTGTGAAGAAATGCAATCTTCACATCTAATTGCTCTAAGTAGAGCTCTTCACTAGCCACAATACTTAACAGAGTCTTGATAGTATTGAGCAATACAACTGGAGCAAAGATTTCAATATAGTCAACTCATTCTTTCTGCTAAAATCCTTTGACAACCAGTCGGGCTTTGTATCTCCTGAAACCATCATGATCTTCATTCACCCGATACACCCATTTGTTGTGAAGTGTTTTCTTTCCCGTAGGTAACTTAACTAGTTCCCATGTCTGACTTGAGATCAAAGAATTCATCTCGTCCTTCATAGAAAGCTCTCTATAATCTTCAGGCCCCCCTACATCAGTCAACAACATGTAGTCCATGTATCTCATGCTCAGTACATGGGGCCAAGTTGACCTTCTCAATACAAGAGTTTGAGTATGAGGTTCTGATTGCTCATCGCTTTCTTCATTTGATTCCTATGACCCTTATTATAGGAATGTCTGGGATATCTTCCACCTCTGTGTAAACTGGCTCCCTGAGTTGCTGACACTTGTGTTATGTCGGTCCTTGTACAACATTCTTTCATTAGAGATGACATCTCTGCTGCGGATCATATTTTTGTTTACATCATCCCATATGCGGTAGCCAAACTCATCTTCACCATAACCAAGAAAAGTACATTTCTTTAATTTTGGATCAAGTTTGTTTCTACCTTGATCACTGATGTGCACATATGCTACACACTTGAAAACTTTAAGATGTGAGAGTTTTACTTCTTTTTCGCTCCATACCACTTCTAATAATTTGTGATCCAATGGTATCGATGGACTTCGGTTGATCAAGTAAGTTCATGTGTTGACTGCTTCTGCCCAGAACTTCTTTGGTAGGCTTGACTGCACACACTATCTTCTGGCTCTTTTAGTCAGCATTCGGTTCATACACTCAGCTACACCATTGTGTTGAGGCATGCCAGACACGGTTCTCTTCATTCTATCTCGTGCTCATATCAAAACTTCTTGAATCTAGTGGTTACGTATTCACCACCATTGCCAGATTTGAGCTTCTTAATCTTTAATCCTATCTCATTTTTCACCATAGCTTTTGAAATATTGAAAGCTTCAAATACTTCTCACTTGTTTTTCAGAAAGTAAACCCATACTCTTCTGGAGTGATCATCGATAAAATTCACGAAGTATTGCTATCCACCGACAGATGGTCGTTGGACTCTAAACATCAGAGTGGATAAGCTCAAGCTTCTCTTTATATAGAGTTCTTGTACTTCTCTGAAAGTCGTCTCTCTTCTACTTTCCAAGTATACAATCTTCACACATGTCAATTTCTATTGGCTGAAGGATTGGTAATTTTCCTTTTGAGTGCATGATCTTCATCCCTTTTTCACTCATATGTCCAAGTCTTTGGTGGCATAAAGTGAGATTTTTATTTTCTGCAACTGCAATCAGATGGCATGCTCTTGTTGTCTTGTAAAGAGTACCACTCTTTTTTGCCTCGAGCAATTGTCATCGTACCTTTTGAAATCTTCCAATTATCACCATGGAAGATTATTGTTAGCCTCCACTGGCTAGTTGGCCCACTGAGATTAAATTCTTCGTCAGGTCGGGAAATTTTCTGACATTTTTCAATTCTCATACAGACCCGTTCAACTTGATTTTTATTGTACCTTTACCTACAAGATCACATGATTTCTCATTACCAAGGTAAAATTTACCATGATTTTCAGGAACATAATTTTCGAATAGTTCCTTCTGTAAGGTAGCATGAAAGGATGCTCCAGAGTTTAGCACCCAAGACTTCTCGTTGTTCTTTACAGAACATATCAGCAGATCTCATCCAGAGGCTGAAGCAATATTTGCCTCTTTTTTTTCCCCATGATTCTCCAGTGCACTCTTGCACTGGTTTTTGTAGTGCCCGGTCTTCCCACAATTCCAACACTCGATCGACTTTGAGTTTTGAGAACTATGATGATTTCTGGACTTGGACCTTCTTTTCTTTGATTTGTTGTGTCTACTTTCTTTAGTTGAACTTCTTCCTATTGACTCTGCATGCAATACAGAAGAGGTCGATGGTTCACCCGACTCTCTCCGCCGGATCTCTTCACTGAGAAGCAAATTTTGAACATCATCAAATCTTGACTTATTGCTTCCCGATGAGCAACTCACAGCCGTGACCGTAGCAATCCAACTTTCTGATAGGGAAGACAAAAGTATTAAAGCCCGTACTTCATCATTGAACTCGATCCCAACTGAACTCAACTAGGTTGTAACGGTGTTGAGTTCATTTGGATGATGTGTCACCGGAGCACTTTCAGTCATTCGCAGGTTGAACAGTGTCTTTGTTGTAAATATTTTTGCGAAGTAGAATCAAAAGATTCAAACACTGGGTCGTGTCTCTGGAGAAAGGTTAGCCAGAATACTCTGTACGTTTATTCAATCACACAAAAGAAATAAAATTCCTAAACATTCTAATTCAGATGATTGGTTTGATTATTAACTATTAAATTTCAAGTAAAGTATAATAAAATAACAAAGCAACACGAAGAACAAGCAAGATTTAAGGAGCTAGGGAGTCGGGGATATCCGTTTTGGTTCGAAATGCAATTATCGAGCAAGTTCTTGTTCAATTAAGTGATTTTAATAACCTGCTGGTTTAAGTATTCATTCTCAATAGCTCTTCGTAACAAGAGAACAAACTTAAATGACAAGTTAACAGGTCTTTTAACACCTAGGCAATACATTACGAATCAACCTAGTTTATACGTGCCTATTTCGACCGACTCCTCCCCTTTTGGTTCTATGAGTCGATTAAGATAGACTAGAGGGTGATTAGCCGACTAGTCAATTAGAATAACAAACAACATGCAAGAATATATCGAACTCAACTGAATGCAATTGAGAATTGAAGTGTCACCCTTCAACAATCTCAATATTCAAGCCTGACAATTGGAAAGCCCTTATAAAAGATCAACTTGCACAAATTGAACAATCATGAGCACGACAATCGTAAACGATACCAAAACATCAATCCCCTATTTCTAGCAAGGATTTAGCTACTCATAATCGAATAATCAACAAAAGCAACCACAACCCAAGAATTCTTATTCATCGATTAAATGAAGAGAAAAATCTTACGATTGATGTATCCCAAAGTTGAATTCGATAGACAAGCTTGAACCCTAAAGCAATAAGAAAATCCAATCTTAAATCCTTGTTCTCCGATGAAAAGTACGAAAGGAAATGAAAAGAACGAGAGAAAGAACAAAAGCGAGGGTTTCTAAGTTCTCGTGCGTTAGAAAAGATGATTTAATCGCAATCCGATCTCATATTTATAGAAAGCTTGGACCACAGCGCGAGGGGTGCTGATGACACGGCGTGAAAGTGCTACCGCAGTGGGGGGAAGTGTAGCGGCACGACAGCTGGGGATGGCACGGCGTGGAAGC